TTGAATGTATTACTTCCATACCCCACTAGATCTTTGTGGTTATTCCCTGGGGCATTTGCACCCCATTTGGAGGGAGGACTTGCCATTTTAGCGTGTTTTTTACATTGTGATTTTCTAAGGATTTTTTTTTTTTTTCTTTTTTTTGAGATAGAGTTTCCCTCTGTCGCCCAGGCTGGAGTGCAGTGGTGCGATCTCGGCTCACTGCAACTTCCGCCCCCCGGGTTCAAGCAATTCTCCTGCCTCAGACTCCCAAGTAGCTGGGATTACAGGCGTTCACCACCACACTCAGCTAATTTTTGTGTTTTTAGTGGAGACAGGGTTTCACCACGTTGGCCAGGCTGGTCTCTAACTCCTGACCTCAAGTAATCCGCCCGCCTTGGCCTCCCAAAGTGCTGGGATTATAGGCGTGAGCCGGCGTGCCCAGTCAGAATCTTATTAAAGATGCAGATTCCCTAGTCCCATGCTAACTGGGGACCAGAGACTAAAAGTCTGCATTTTTAGTAAGTGCCCTGGTGAGTCTAATGCAATGCTATAGAGCAATGAGGCTGTTCCAAGCTGTTTGCAAATGGCTGGGCATGCTGGTAAATCAGGCGCAAGGCTTGTCCTCAGGAGCCCTCAGGTGGAACGGGCTGGGGTGGCCTCCTTCATCTGACTCACCTGTCTCCCCTCTTGCTCCAGGAAGCCGATGCCAGTGGATGATTCAGATTGCAGCTCTGATGATACCAGCATCTCTGCCTTCTCATCCACCTTGCTGAACCCCATCAAATTAGCTGTGACCCAGCCCAACAGCAGCTTCTTTGCAGGGATGCTGGAGGGGGAGCTGAACAAACTCAGCTTCTCCCCGATGGCCAAGAATACAGAAAAGGAGGACCTGGCCCTCGGCCCCTGCCCATGCCCATCTAAGTGCCAAATGGCCACGAGGGGCCTGCTGGACCTTGACAACCCTGAGCTGGAGACAGAAACCTCCTCAACGCACTCGGAGTCTTCTGTGGTTGTGGACCTGCCGGACACCCCCTTCATCTTCGAGCACACTGTCAGCAATTCCACAGCTGTGGTGCGTTTCCCTTGCTCATGCGTTCAGCAGAGGCTTATTGTGCCAGGCACTGAGCTGAGCTCCATGGGTAGTGAGAAGGTGCCTGCCACCTGCATCTCGACCTCAAGTTCATGGTTTAGGAAGGGAGAGGACGTGTCTGTAAAAACTCCAGTGCAAGACAGAAAGCGTTCAGTGCTGTAGGAAAAGTTCAGGCGAAGTGCCACTAGGATTTCAGAGGAAAGATATATTACTTCCAGATGCAGAAATAAGCCTGGTGGCTTTTGGTAACATCTGGACTGGGAAGCAGAGGTAGCATGTAAACATCTAGAGGTGGAGGAGGGAAAGCATTCCCTGGAGGGGCGGACCCTAGCAAAAGCTCATAGGAAAGTATGGGAGGAAATCTCAATTTGAACAAGATGCAGGTGATCTGTAGGAATAGGAAAGCGTGAGAAGCCCTGGATGAGGACCTGGTTCAAGTGAGGCTCCTCGGGATTCCTAGGCCTCCTCCCTAGAGGGTCTGGGGTGAAGCCTGATAATTTGCATTAGTAACAGATTCGCAGAGGATGCTGGTGCTGCCAGTCCGCAGGCCACATGCTGAACAACACCGTCCTACACTATGGGAAGTGAAGACAGGGGTCAGGATGGGGAATGTTAGTCTGGGGTCATCTTCCAGAGTACTCCATTGTTAGGATACTGTATAGATTTTTCTGTAACTAACAAGGAACAGCTTTGTACAAAGCTTCACATCAGATGATGAAAGCAATTCGAGCTGTATCTTGGGAAGATGCCTGGAATTCCACTGTTGGATGGCCCAGAGCAGTGTTTCTCAAAGTGCTCTCCAGATGGACAGTGTCAGCATCGCTCAGCAAATTGTTAGAAATTTAAATTCTCATCTCCTTCCATCACATTTGGGCCTCCTGACTCAGAAACTTTTGGGGCGGAGGCCAGCAATCTATCTTTTAATAAGTCCTCCGGGGTATTCTAATGCACACCAAGTTTGACAACCACTGGCCTAGATGGAGGAGAAACCAGACAGGAGGCAGCAGGCCCAGAAATCTGCAGTTATAAAACCTCCCTGAGATGCTTAACCAGGATTAGCAACCATTGTAGTACGAGGTGTATAGGCTCTGGAGCTATGGGTTTGAACCCTGGCTGTCACTTAATTGCTGTGTGATGATGGACCAGTCACTTGCCCTCTCTGGACCTAGTTGTTAAGAAGATCTCTAAGGGCCCTCTCAGCTGACAGAGTCTAGAACAGCGGTTCCCAACCTTTTTGGCACCAGGGACTGGTTTCATGGAAGATCATTTTTCCATGGATCAGGTTGGGGGGATGGTTTCAGGATGATTCAGCATATTACATTTATTGTGTATTTTATTTCTATTATTATTACATTGTAATATATAATGAAATAATTATACAACTCACCATAATGTAGAAACTGTGGGAGCCCTGAGCTTGTTTTCCTGCAACGAGAGGGTCCCATTTGGGGGTGATGGGAGACAGTCACAGATCATCAGGTATTAGATTCTCATGAGGAGCATTCAACTTAGATCCCTCCCATACAATTCACAATAGGTTCACTCGCCTGTGAGAATCTAATGCTGGTGTGATCTGACAGGAGGCGGAGCTCAGGCGGTACTGTGAGCTGTGGGGAGCAGCTGTAAATGTAGATGAAGCTTCACTTGCTCGCCCACCGATCTCCTCCTGCTGTGCTATCCAGTTCTGCACAGGATATCTGCTATCAGTCCATGACCCAAGGGTTGGGAACCCCAGTGTAGAAGAAATATGGAACGAGGGTGCACCCTAAAGTGGGCGGGGCTGCCCAGGAGAGTAGCACATGCTGCGGGGCAGGGCTTCCACACTCAGTGCTGCAGTACCTCGCACCTTCCGTCTGACCTGCCTGGGTCCCAGCAGGAGCAGGGGATGGGCGTGGGACATCCTGACCCGAGTTGGGAGGGTGAGGGGACAGGAAGGACAGGACAGATATGAGGAAGCCTTGGGGCTCTCTCTTCCCCTAGATTTCCTGGACCTACGCCTTGGGCAAGCAGCCGGTCAGTTTCTACCAGGTCCTGTTGCAGGAGGCGGCCGAGACACAGGAGAATGAGTTGCCCAAGGCAAAGAATCGTCCATGGATCTTCAACAAGATCTTGGGCACCACTGTCAAGCTGATGGAGCTGAAGCCTAACACATGTTACTGCCTCACTGTCCGTGCAGCCAACACAGCTGGGGTGGGGAAGTGGTGCAAGCCCTACAAAGTGAGCCCTGGGAAAAGAGGGGTCTTGGGGGTGGAGAGAAGTCCTAAACCAGGGAACCAGGGCTTTGGAGGTTGGGAACACCCCTATACCCACATGTCTCATCTGGCTAGCTTTCCTTCCGCCTGGGTCAAGAAGCATCAATTCCAGGATGCATGCTTCTGGGAGGTTTACGGATTAAGCCACTCTGGGGCCCACTAGGAATGCATTTTTCAACATCGTATTTTTCAACGAACGTATTTTTCAACATCACTATAATGTTCCCCTTCCAAAGCCATTGGTTTTTAGACTCTGCAACTCAGTGCCAATAATTGTGAGAAGGCTGGGAAGTCAAGGGCATTGAAAGAAACAGGCAAGACAAGAGGCTAAAGGGGGACGAAGAAGGGAACAGCCGGGTATGGGTAGGGGTACGGGGGTGTAGAGGCCTGAGTAGAGACAGCCCTTTGGTTGGAAACATCCCATAACTGAGGAGGCACAGGCTTGAGTCATGCATCTTTGTACCTGTTTCCTGCATCAATGGCTAGGTTGGATAAGGCTGTTTAAAACAGGTCTGAGTTAGCAGACAGAATAAAAAGGAGGTAATAGAGAGCCAGGCTCAGATCTCGGAAGGAATTCTGAAGGGTTTTCTTGTTTCACTTCAGTTTGCAACCCTGGCCACTGACTTCAGCAGCTTTCCTGAGAACAACCCCATCCAGATCACCGTGCGGCGCAAGGAACCCCAGCGAAAGATCGTGTCCATCGGGCTGGAGGAGATGCGGAGGCTGGAGGATCTGGAATACCTATTTCCCTATTAACAGGGAGGGCCCCAGGACACCCCTCACCAACTTTCAGCTTTGGCCCCGGGCCCTTAGGAACCAGAACTGTGAGACTTACTGTACCACCAGCACCATGCAGGCCCAAGGGCCTGGCAGAGTGGTATGGGAACCCCACCCCTGGGCTGGGGCCAAGGCTAGATAGATAGGGGCCCCATTCACCCGGAGACATCCCAGGCCAGGCCATGCCAGGCTCAGCCGCTGCCCACAGCTGCTAGACTCCGTCCTCCCACAAATCTGGGCTGGGTCCAGGTCCCTCATTAAAGAACTGCAGGCCATCTAGCACCCTAAAATCTGTTTTATGCTGCAGACAGCCTCAGATGGGCTGTCACCCACCTCTTAGCTTCCACCAGGACGGACTCTACATGAGTAGGGAGATGGAAAACAGGCAGCTAGGCAATAGGATGCTGCTATCACCCCTTCCCCAGTGGGGCGGGGGACAGGGGCAGGGAGACTGGTGCTGTAAGACTAAAAGCCTCTTATCCCAGAAAAACACAGAAATAGCTGTCATGGACAGAAGTGGTGGCCCATGAGCTGTCAAACTAGCTTGAGCTCTGGAGGAAGGGATGTGGTACAAAGTGCACAATAAGCTTTGGGGAAGGGCCTGGTTTAATCCCAGCTCTTCCTCTTACTGGACGTGGGGGCGCGGGCTAATCATTTAAGCTTCTTGTGGTGTTTCCTCATCAAAAGTTTGGGGGCTTGAGAACTTTCCAGGCCTGGTACAGTCTGAGGGCACAGCAGACAAGCACCTGACACCAAGGAGCTCAGTGGCTGATAGCTTTGTTCGCTTCTCATGTAGCCTCACTGCAGAGATGTGCAAGGTGGAGGCCAAGCACCGCAGCTAGGTGACGTGCAAAACCCAAAAGCACAAAGGGTGGAGGAGGGTAAGAAGGAGCAATATGCTAGTTCTGAGCAGTTTATACAAGGATGGTTTGGAAATCCAATCTGAGTAGTTCATACCATGACCCAGCTTAGCATGGGATGCAGGAGAAAGCGGAGGCAGGGTGCTTGCAGGGCAAGATCTCGGCCTGCGGTCTGAGTCCTGATGGGAATTCCTTTCATCACTTGAAAGTTTTCATGTGGCAGAGAACTATCCTCTGTTATCAACCATACCCACTTGGGCTCAGAGCTTACTGCTGCCTCCCCATCTGAGGGAATCCTCTGGAAGAACCATCATCTTCCCCGCTCTATCCTGAGGGCCCAGGGAAGTGCTTGGTGCCTGGCAGGGCCTCAGGCAGTGTGCTACGGGAAGGCAGAGGTGTCCCCTAGAGCAGGGCTGGCCAGCAGAACCCTCTTAATGACGAAAACCTTTCTGTGTGCTGTCCAATACTGGAGGCCTTACCCCGTGTGGCAGAGGAACTGCACTTCTATTTCATGCCAGCAGCCACATATGGCCGGTGCCTACTGCAGTGGACAACAATACAGCCCTAGATTCTCCTTGGCCACTATCACGACTGGCCTCTCTCTTACCGACACGGGGGAAGACAGGGAAGGCAAGTGCCTGGTCAGTGTGGTTTTGGCGTAGTCCAGTGCAAGGGAGGGGGCTGGACAATCTGATTTAGCACAGTCCTTGATTGAGTTCTGGGGATTCTAGGACAAGGAATTGGAACCCAACACACAAAACATAAGTTATTTATTTGGTCATAGAACCTGGGGTCTGACCCTGTACAGAGTTGACACTAGCGGCCCACTCACAGAGCCTGGCCGCCCACCACCCCCGTCTGTACCAGTAAGGTATAGAGCAGCAGACACAGGCCAAGTTCGGTGACAACTTCCTGTGACCTTCGATTTCTGGCTCTGGGGTGTGCCACAAGCAGGGGATCTGTGGGAAGACCCCACTCGGGTCTGTCGAGGACAGCAGGCCATGCGCATTCTCAGGTCCCCACTGGTGGGAAGGGTGTGTGCGCTGCCACCTGAGTCTTTGTTCTCTGGCAGGAAAGGCGGCTGGCAGAGGCCGAGTCCAGGTGGGGGTCAGAGAGAACTGCAGGCCTTCTCATCTCCTCCATCTGTAGAGAAGGGAAGGGTGTCAGGATGGAGATGCCACCTCAGGAAAGGGAGGCTGTCATATAATCCCAGTGTCAACTGACGGACGGCCTGTGGTCCACCCTCAGAGTCACCAAGAGCCAGGCGACCGTCTCTGCTCTGGCTACCCAAACTCAGGCTGCCCACCCACTGTCTGCTGCCGCCAGGACCTCCATCCAGGGCCTGGCCCCTGGGATGCCCACCACCAAATAGTCACAATCCCTTATAAGCACACGACACTTTAGCTTCCAGAGTGCTTACCCTCCTATTTTTGATCCTGTCTACGACGGTTTGATAATTCCCAAGAGACTGATTAACCAAGTTCTCTGTAATTACTCATTGGCAGAACTAGGATTTGAACTCGTGTCTTGGGACTCTGAGGTCCAGTGACAGAAAGACCTGGACGCGTCCTCTAAGAGGGTATCCTATTGCCTCTGTTATTCCGGTTGCCCTCCCACCTGCCCACTGAGAACCTGGCTCCACACACCTCCTCAGGACAGTCTGAGCACCTGGAGGACCCTGTGGAATTCTATGCCATAAGGGAAAGTGTGCAAAGAGGGACTGGCTTAGGGTCAGGAGGGCCAAGCACGCCAACCACCACCTCCCCCACACTCACATCCGGAGGCATTTGTCCTTCCCACCACTTGCCACTCTCTGGCCATCTGGACTCCAGTCAACAGCATATACCTAAAGGGAGGCAGAGGAGGGAGGCAGAGGAGGAAGGCAGGTGAGGTGGTGAGAGGGAGACAGCCAGGCTCCAATCCCAATCCCGCCTCTGCCCGAGGGTTGGCCCTACCTCATCCGCGTGGCCGGGCAGGTCCATGGCCAGCTTCTGGGCCTTCACATCCCACACCTTCAGTGTGCTGTCACTGCTGCCGCTGACCAGGAGCCGGCTGTCAGCTGACCATGCAATCTGGTACACGGCAGCCACGTGGCCACGTAGGGAACCCAGGTACCTGGTCCAGAAGACAATGATGGATCTTAGTCTGAGTTAGATCTTCCAACACATCTGAAGGGTCCCCTATGCTCATGGTCATGGTTCTCAACCTTGGCTGTTTGTTAGAAATACCTGGGAACTTTTACAAAATCATACTGCCTGGTCCCCATCCGAGGCCATTTTAATCATTACCAGTCATTACAATTTGTAAAACTTCTGCAAATGAGTAGCTTCTAGCATGCCTCTTGCTTGCCCTCCATACCTGCACAACTTTGCATGCCTTAGACTCCAACGTGGCCATCTGCTTAGCCCATCTGCCTGACATCCCCCCAAGCAGCAGGTGCCTGCTGACAGGTGGCATGGAGCAACAGTGGGCCAGGCCGACCTGAACTTTCACATCAACACAGTCTAGCTGTTTCTCTTTGGACAAACCATCAGGCCTGAGACTCAGTTTCCTTATTTTGAAAAGGAACCCAATTACCTATGTTAAAGGGTTGCTGTGTGAAAACACAGTGACTGATGCAGAGGTCCTCCTTCAACCCCAACAAGGTGTCCCTGGCTCTTTTTCTCCCCTTGCCTCTGCCTTTGCCTCTCCTCTGATCCGATTAACCCCAAGGGCATTGTGCCTCATCACACCAAGGGTTCCCACACTAGAATGCGTAGCAGAGTCACCTGGTAACTTTATTAAAATGAAGAATCAGATCCACAGGGTCTGAGTGGGGGCCAGGACTCTGCATTTCTATCAAGCTCCTATGTGATGCTGATGCCGCTGGTCTGTGGCCCACACTTTGAGGAGGTCCAAGTAACATTTGTACCACAAGCCTACCTACCACCACTTCACCTTCTCCAGGGCTACAGCCCTACCACTTCAGCTAGCTCTAAGATCACTTCTCTCCTAAGACATAAACTAGCTTTTTCTTGAGACAGAGTCTCACTCTGTTGCCCAGGCTGGAGTGCAGTGGTGTGATCTCGGCTCACTGCAACCTCCGTGTCCCAGGTTCAAACGATTCTCCTGCCTCAGCCTCAGGGGTAGCTGGGATTATAGGAATGTACCAC